TCTCCAGAATGTGACAATTTTACATACAACACACGCGTATATAGGAGAGAACAGGAGAGATAGATGATAACGAGGAAAGGCAGACCAATAAGAGGTAATATCCATATCGGCGCACACACTTCGTCGGAATTAGAGTCGTTTACTTAACATCTTTGTTTGAAAATTAATCAGTCTTGTCCTTAAAATTTCATCAGAATGCTCTCACTAAAACATTTTATTCATTATTAACGATCTGTACAACATATAGAGTTACTTAGGAAAAAACTTCTTAGAATGCGAGCTAATTTTCCGTCAACATCATGTTGAATCAATCAGTTATGGTAAGTTATGGAAATTTTCACTTAGAAGACGCCCCACGAAAAACTCAAAGCTTTCTTACACATCTGGTAGCATGATGGGCTTAAGGCATTGAATCCAGTATACCAGGTACAAATCTCAATTTATGCAATATTCAAATCGAAAATATAACGCTCTAAAACTTTCTTCTTCATTACAATGAGTTGGATCATGATTGATACATCAAAATAACCCTTGAAAAATGGTCTATGTTCGACCACCATTATATATCGATTTTTTTCTGTTTTATTTCACAGCTGATTAAAAAGGACTACATAAGAATCTGTAGACCGCACATCACTTTACGAAATTCTATATACGGTTCTTTTACTCAGAGATCAATCGAAATGTTGAAAGTCCAAATAATATACATCTATCATGTTCCCGAAACTCCTATTTGAGTAGTGTTGTGACGAAAATTCTTTTGCTATTACTAATTTTCGGACAACCAATAGTGTTAATATGTAACCCATTCAATTATGCGTCGAACTCTACATAAGACTTTCTTATAATATATTCTTTAGCTAAAACAGTCAATGCCAGAAGTTAATCTTTATCATTATATTTATCAGATATGTATGAAGATGGGTGACCATCATATTGTATTTCAATCGTTCATTAGTGTCTAATATCAAGGGAAGCTAAAATCTAACATCAAAATCATGACCTGTTACAAAAACTGCACTTCATAGATAAGACTAGCCCGATTAGATCAAGATTGCAAGGTGGCAGCCAATGGTATTATAGGAAAATCGACTTGGTACTACTTGAAAGATCAACAACATTTTTCGGCTTCGTTGAAAGAAGAGAAGCTATTTCAAGTTTATGTTGAAGATGGTATTCCTTATCAGATTTTGCCTCACTCTCATCAGTTCATATCACACTGTGCATTGGTTATCACTATGAACGCGGCTATGTATTTTCTCTGTAGGGAATTAGAATTTTTTTTCCACTGAAACAGTTCACTTTCGACGTAAGATGCTCTTTCAAGAAAGCATTTTTATAAAAGATTGCATGAAGTAATCCGAAACAGTTGGTATCTCTTTAGCATCCGTTGATCTCTCAGCGTACAACTATTTAGTGCAAGAATCAATCAATCATCTTGAAAATTGTACTTACTAAGGCTACTGTTCATAGAAGTAGTTGTCCCACGACTTTTGAAAAAATTAATAAACATGTATGAATAAAACTCATGTCACTAAAATAAACTAATGGCAAGAATGTTCTTTTGTAATTCCTGTCGCCGATATTTCATGTAGGATCTTACACTAAAATAAAATATGTCACACTTATGTATCGTTAGTTACAGTGTTGCAGACGCTATCACGAACTTGTGTCGGAATTAGAATATGTCGTGTTCTTTGTACCGGCTACACAATCATCTTTTTATTTTGCACACACAGCTGCATATAGACTACTGGACTGAACATGCTATACTTATGTTTTTTCCGTGTATATTTTTTTTTCTAGATTATTTCTCGATTAGTTATTAATTAAGAACACGCAAATCTCGATCAATAATCGAGATCGGACCAATTCAAGACGGACAGATCTCAAAATCTGACTATCTTGAATTTTTAAAATAGGAATAATTAAATCAAATTAAATTGAAAAAAGTGTTCTTTTCGGTTCGAACAAAAAAGAAAAATGTATTGCATGATAGATTCGAACCACATTTTCAGAATGTATTGTATGTGTAGTAGAAAAATGTGTCCCAACGAGCATCTCGTGCCGTACATTGTGTTGCATAGTACAACATATTTGACACATTTTATTTTAGTGTGCAACAAAATATAGCAATATGCGATGGAAAATATCATATAAAAAGAAAGGAGTTCTTTAACATGCAAAAAGGAACGATATCATATAGGGAAAGAAAAAAGAAAGGAAGAGAACATTCTGTAAAAGCGGAGTGTGCAGCACATCCAGCATCCTAATTATGCATATTAACTTTTTATTAAACTCATAGCATTGAGACACAACATGCAGTTTATTCAATAGTTATCTAACGACCAATCATTTCTGCTCATTCTCCAAGCTAATAATATAGAAATTTTTCTACAACAACGATTAGGATGTAGGACATCCATCACACTTTCTTTTATGTTGTGGTAAATATATATATGATTATTTTACCCTGATCGATCATAATTTCTATCTCTAGTTTCATAACTAAATCCATGCGATAGAAAATAATGACTTTGATCTATTGTAGATTGTGTGTATCAGCTTGAGGCCGACGTGAGAATAAATAGTCTTTTGTTAATATCAGTATCAAGTGAATAGGAAACATCTCTCTGGCTCATATTTAGTAATAATAATTGTTCTTAGTTTGTAAATAAATATAGAAACGAAAATAAATGTTAGATATCTATTGGTCATTAACTGACAAATTACTTCGCGGCTTTACATATTATCATCTGACATTACCAATTCAAACATTTGCAGAAAAAAAAGATATTTTTGGTGATATATATAGTCCAAGAATTACATACCAAAATTTTATAAGAAACATCTTTATCATCAGAGGATTGATAGTTATGGTATAGAATCTAGAAAGGTATACGAATTACTAGAATTATGACAATCAGAATCAACGCTTTGAAATGCATACTGTCATGTATTTTTCGAGAAAAAAACGGCTCAGTACTTGAGCGACTTTTCTCATTATCAGGTATCTACCGTTCATTAGGATGTGATTTAGGAATGATTTTCAACTACACTATCAAACATTGTACACACTGATGAGAGCTATATGGCGAATGTATCAGTCTGATAATAGTTCTGTTCAACATACCACGCATTCCGAACTGAAATATGTAACTTGATTACATCAGCAAAGACTCATCGACAGATGAATTGTTATAAACAGGGTTCTGTTCATATATATCGATCCGTTCGAAGTGAAATATGTCACTCGATCACATCAGAAAGATCTATTGACAAGTGTATCAGGATAAGTAGCATTCTATACGAGTACAACACTCATGTCGAGATGAAGTATGTCAATCGACTAATAGATGACAATGTGCATGTTAAATAATTACTTCTAACAAAGAGTTTGTACAAATACGGCTTTTACTCTAAAGAAAGTGCACACAAACTCAAGTGATCGAAGTTTGAACGGTAAACGAATGGTTCTAAGTAGATTTGTATTCCAGTATGTCACTGACTTCAAAACAAAGTGCTTTACTTCATTGCATCAGCAAAAATGTTGTGACAAATGAACTGCTATAAACAGAGCTTCATTCAAATATATTGCTCAATTTGAAGGGAAGTGTGCCACACAATCACATCAGCGAGAATCGTTTGACAAATGAACTGTTATAAATAGGGTTTCATTCAAATGTATCGCCCAAATCGAAACGATTTATATCGCTTGATCACGTCAGAAAAGAGCCCTTGCTAAATGAATTGTGATAATCAGAATTCCATTCAAGTATATCACTCAATCCCAATGAATTGTGTTACTGAACCTTATCAGAAAAGATCTCTAGATAAATGAATCGTTCTAAGCATCGTACCATTCAAATATATCGCTCAATTCGAAGCGGTTTATTTCACTCGATCATGACAATAAATGTCTATTTATACATGAATCGTTATGATTAGCATTGTATACAAGTATGTTGCTCAATTTGAAGCGATGGGTATCATTCAATCACATCATTAAAGTTTCGTAAACAAATGAATGGTTATGATTAGCATTGTATCCAGATGTACTGCTCCATTCGAAGTAATGTATGTCACTCCTTGATATCAACAACGACTTCTTGGTAAATGAATCGTTATAACCATAGTTTCATTCATATATATTGCTCAATTCAGAATGCATAGTGTCACTTGGTCAGATGAGCAAAGATTCCTTGATAAATGAATCGTTCTAAGGATCGTACCATTCAAGTATATCGCTCAATTCGAAGCGGTTTATATGACTCGATCATGCCAACAAATGTCTGTTTATACATGAATCGCCATGATTAGCATTGTATACAAGTATATAGCTCAATTCGAAGCGATGTGCATCACTTAATCACATCACAAAAGGTTCTCTAATAAATGAATTTTCAGAATCAGTGTTTCATTCAAATATACCGCTCAACTTGACGCAATGTGTGTTACTTGACAACATCAGGAAACAACTCTTGATAAGTGAATCATGATCAGGAGAGTTCCATTCAAGTATATTATGCAGTTCGAAGCAAATTGTGTCATTTTGATCAGATTGGGAAAGAGTTCTGAAACAATGAATCGAATTAAAGTAAAAGATTCTGTTCGAATATCTATCTTGGCTCAAATCATAGATTTAGATGAAAAACCTGTTCACTAGAAAGATGCTAACTGAAGAGTCACTACAATCGCTGAATTCAAGTATTAGTGGTGTGACAAGGACATAATAAAACTGAAATGCACTGAGCAAAAATGTAGAACATGAACGGAGTGAAAAACTAACTTGTTCAGATATCTACTGATCTACTGTAAAATGAGAGTTTAATATATTTTGAGGAATGTTCTCAAGGTATTCGAATACATGAAATCAAGCATAGATTTAACTACCTCGATGACTGTAGTGAGAACATCACAATTTCTGTTTTAAATAATGATGACATGCTGTATGCACAGTTAGAACAAAGATTCTATTCGAGTATTTCAAAAAATTTCAATCAGTTATTCAATATTGAACTATCGGCGAAACTATACATTGTACATGACAGTGCTTTACGGCCAGTTGTGGTAGTTGTTGTAGTTGTTCCAGTTGTTATGGTTGTTGTAGTTGTAGTTGTTGTTGTGGTAGTTGTTGTAGTTGTAGTTGTAGTTGTTGTTGTAGTTGTTGTTGTTGTTGTTGTTGTTGTTGTTGTTGTTGTTGTTGTTGTTGT